CGAATGACAAAAAATATTGTAATCGCCGGCGCTCCACGTGTACGCGCAACAGATCAATGTTGATGTCGTTTCCGATAATTATTATCCCTTACCACTATTTACTATTCGTTTATCACTATTAAATATCCATAAAGAAAAAGAAGTGCTGTTTAATCTGTTCAGAGTGGTCACAGTCGAAGGGGAGGAGAGGTATTCGAAGCAATCGATCATATCCCGCCTACCCCTGTGACCGTTTCGTATAATCGATGGTTTTCTGCTATTGTTAAGTTGTACCGTGGACGATCCGAGGACCGTCGCACGTATATGTATATAATATATCTATATAATATCTATTTATATTTATATATATGTATATGCTTATAGTATACAGGATCGTGTTGGATCGATAACTAATCGAAGCAATCACTGTGTGTCTTGTGTTTCTCGTTCTTGTGTTTCGGTATTATAGCTGAGATGTCCGAGTGTAAACGGGTCATCCCGGACCGATCCAAGATGGCCGAATAATGCGTAACGAAGGCAGTTTCGAACAGTGCCCACAAAGAGAATGTGATTTTTCGTGACTGTTGCTGCTGCTGCTGCATTGTTACTGTACAATCGTTTCGCGTAGAAAACGACGATGGTGAAGCATGCGAAAAGCAAAACTGGAAAGATTTTTATCAACAGCGGCGATGTGGTCTGTGTATGTGTGTCCCCTTGATTGATCGGTGAACCGTTTGATAACGCTGATCGAACTCGACGATTCGACCGGTCAATGAAATCTTTCCCGTCTCGAGAATCATATTTTTTCTTTCGTTCTACGGATATCAGTGGACTCTTTCGATTACTGTGCACGATGCGTATGTGCGCGCATGTGTGAGTGCTATGTCCGAATATGATCTCGTTCACGTCGAGTCGGATGTATATGCTGATTGAATTGTGAGAGATGCCTTGTGACTGAGAATCATCTGCAACCGTGTTACGCGGAAATGGAAGATCCTGGCTGTCTTGATCCCTTCAGTTTCTTCTCCCAGGCCGCCTCGTCGTGAGGCTACCTGTCAACCTGATCGATATCTCTGTACAATTTGCTCGTCCGGAAGTCTAATTCCGGAGTCTCGTTCGCCGTCTTCTGTCGCGTGTGTGTCGCATAAAAAATGTTGGCCGCGAATCGCGTAGCTGTTACGCGTTAGACGCGTGTTCTCCTCTTTCAAATCGGCGATTTCGTTGATACTTGGTTTCTCCTCTTTTGTCCTTTATCCATCGTTGGGTTGGTTTCTCCTGCGAATCATTTTTTTTTTTTTTAAATATTTTCCTCGTGTTTTTCTTCGTTACGTTTTGTGGCCGTGGAGCTGGTTTGCTTCTCGCAGGATACAGCGAGGAGTTCTCGTGAAACTGTTTCCGTAAAAAACGTACAAAAAAGACCGCGTTTTCACTATGTGACGTAGTAAGAACATGATAAAAAGGTCGATAAAGGCTTAAACAACGGTCGTTGGAGATACGTCGACGATATTCTGGACGTTCGTACGAAAAGAAAGAAGCTTGTCCCTTTTTTCCCCCCCAAATTTCTTCGTGTGTTCGTCGAGGCTCGTGATGATCGGTTCAAGTTACGCGCGTTTTAAATACTACCGGTAAGAAAGATTTGGTTCCAGTTTCTTCGACGACAAAGAGTTCTGATACTCGTGTTGCCTTCTTCTGTTTCGTTTTTTGCGATATTTTCTTTGCCTTGTCTTCGTTTCTTAGAAAAGAAGTGCTCGATACGATCTCTTCATTGTTCTCTGCGTTTTTATTAATTCCTCTCTCCCGTTTCGCCGGATATATTTGCGTTTATTCTAAACTTAAACGCCGAGCTTACTTTTAATTTCCTCAATTCTAAATCGATAAGCACACGATTTCTCTTCACGGTAAAATATTCTAGAATACTAACATTTAGATTTAGCGATAAATCGAGTTTGTACATTTGTTTGTTGGTATTTTGTTTTCCTTACCCAAATAGATTAAGTTACTCCTCGCCTCATCTTAATTCACGCACATAATAATTTATAACGTTAAAAATCTTCTTTTTCTCTCTCTCTTGCGCTCTCTCTCGCTCTCTCTCTCTTGCTCGCTCTCTCTCTCTCTCTTCAATTAAGTTACTCATTATTATATTAATAATTTCTATTTAAATCATCATTTGTTTTTTCTCCCTCTATCTCAATGTTTTTTTCTTCTCTCTTCTCTTTGTTACTACTTTGTTTGATTTGTACATTCTCCGAGCGTGCGGGCGAGCTTGTCCTTACTTCGTCGCCAAAATCTCTTTCTCTCCGTCTTCTTCCTCTCTGTACCCTTCGATTTTTTTTTAATTTTTTTTTATTTTTGGCGTTGTAAGTGCTGTGCTGAGAAATCGGCCGAAAAAAGTAGCTTTTCCCATTCCTCGTGTTCGTCGCGACGGCTGTGCTTTCACTTCCATAACGGACAGGATTGCTGTTGTCGTTGTCGTGTTTGCGTTTAGTTAAGTACCCGAAATTTTCGTTACCAGAAATTTTTCTCTTCGTCCTATTCCGTGGGACAGGGTGCAGGAACTGTGAGCGAGCAATGAAATCTTCGAGGGTGTCTACAGCTTCACTTCTTCTTTGTCCTTTTTGTTCTACACTACAGACTCCAAGTTTCGTTTGTTTCTCCGCTTCTCCGTTTCCATTGAAAAAAGGTGTCCGACCGACAATTTTGTCGTAACGAAAAAAATAAATCAAAGATCGATGAACCAGCGAAAAGTACGATGTGTTCACGCGCGGGGCAGATTATGGATTACGAACTTTCGTTTCTTCTTTTTTTTTTCCTTCGTTTCGTTTTTCTTTCATCCGTTTTTGACAAAAAGAGATATTCCGAAAAAAGGGGGGTGGGGTTGGGGGGCGATGGTTTCTCGTTGTTGGATCGAAGTCTGTTTCGCCCGCAACAACGAAATTCTGCTGAAAAGAGCGATTGTGTCTCGTGCTCGCGACGTGCTTCTCTGTTTTCTCTATCTCTCTCTCTCTCTCTCTCTCTCTCTCTCTCTATCTTTCTCTCTCGAAATTTTCTTCCCTTTGACATTTCTCACTAAGCAATTTTGACTTGGTTTCGGCCGAAATGAACGATTGAATTTATCAACGTATATTCACGTGTATGCATCGTTTCAGGAAAAAGGAGCGTCAAGTGATCTCGAAATAGCGTAAATAATTTATTACCTCTCGTTTATATGATATCAAAGCGAATCTTGGATTTATCCTATGCGGTGTTGTGGATGACAATGATATCGGCAGTTCGGTTTCATTTCTTGTGTCTTCTTTCTCTGCGTGTTTTGCGTCCTCCTTTCCATTCATCTGTGTGTATTTCTCCTTATTTGCAGATTCTTCGTAATTTTTCTTTTCTATGAAACGGCTTTCCGGATTTATTGATCGTTAAACATATATGTATGTATGTATGTGCGTACTGTGGTTTGTTCCTTGGCACTTTCATCGTTTTTTCTTTGTTTCCTTTCTATATAAACTGTTTTATCATTTTAAACCTTTCCTTCGCGTTTCTTTTACGTTTTTTATTTTCATTCTTTCATTAAATATTTACGCTTGATAAATAAACACGGTGACGAGGGACAGCGGGCGAGGAAGGCTTTCCAGGCAGCGACAACGACGAGAAAAGGAAAAAAAAATCGTGTCGCATAAAACTGCGAGCCCGATCGTCCTGTCGCTGGCCGTCAAAGATTACACGTCCTCGCCGAGCGGACCCGGCCGCCGCCGTTTTCCTCCAAATATATTAAATATATTATACAATTTATCCGACTAAAATCTCCTTTATTCCCCCCGCGACGGGCGAACAGACGCGCACAGCGCAAAAAGCTGCGCGCCGTCCCGTCCATTAAATCTTCATTTCTCACTTTCTCCCATTTTTTTTTTTCATTTATTAAGTTAAAGTTACTCTCTCCCTCCCTTCGTACCTTTTTTATTTCTCGTTTTCATATTTTTTTTTTTTCATTTTTCACGAAAAACACTTCGCTTCGCATCTTCTCCTTTCTCCTTCCACCTTATCTCTTATCTCTATTTTTAAAAACATCGTTTCTTCTCTCTCCCTCTTCGCCTACCCTCCTCACGCCTCGCTTTCAATATCGTTAAAATTCATTAAGTTATTATAAAACATCTAACAAAAAAATTGAAAAAGAAAGATTCACTTGGATCTCCCCAACAATGTATCAAAAATAAACTTATACTCTTAGATTCATTTTCTTTCCTCGTCCCATCTCCATATCCGTTTTCTCTATCTCTCTCTCTCTCTCTCTCTGTCTCTTTCTCTCAAAACGTTCTCGCGCGTAGCCTCATCCGTTATCCCATTACATACTTCCCTTTCCATTTCGGTTTAAATCTCTCTTCCCCCAGTCTGGTTTTCTCTTCCAGGTCTCGTTTCGCTTCCAAGTCTGGTGTTACGAACACGCTTGTATTCGTCTTCCATATCGTCTCGCTTTGTTCGTTCATTCTCTTCATTCGGCGCTCCTCCGGGGACGTGCAGCGAAAAAGAAAAAGCCAAGAAGATGCGGAGCACCCGAGCTGCCGTCCGTCGCGTGTATCTCTTTATTTTTCCCTAC